AAAATTACAGGCCTCTCTCATCTTTTTAAGTGGGAGAACTTGCACAATTGGTGGCTGACTAAATACTTTTTTGCCCCACTGTATTTCATTCTCTTGGTTTGATGAATAGAAGAGTGTGCAGAGGTTTTGAACTTGTAGTGTTTTCCAAAGTCCCGTGCTCTTTCCCAGGCATTGAGAAGACCATAACCTCAACCTTAGTTCTCAAACATGCAAAACAGGGTCAAACCTGCCTGGTACTTGGATGGGAGATCACCCATCTGATGGCTAAATTGGGAAGTTGAAAAAACATCTGAAGGAAGGCAGTGGCAAACCTCTTCTGCATGGTTGCCAAGAAAACTACAGGAATTTGTCCATGAAATCATTAGGAGGTTGACTCAATGTAGTCTTCTAAAAACTAAATAGTGTAGATTGTTAATTAGTACCTGGATGGGAGACCACTAGGAAAAAAGATAATGGCAAATGATTTCCATGACTACGTAGACATTTCTATGTAATTACCAGGAAATCAACTTGTAGGAGACTTTACATATATTTTAACTGGTTTTCTCCAACCCACTGGAGACTGGCAAACTGGCAACATAAACATTTTTACTAATGTATTGATTAATCCTAGGCTAGCTGAATAGAAGCAAGGAGCTGGATTGTTCTGTTCTCTTAAAAAAAAGAGCAAGAATAATTTATGGTAAGTCCTGAATCTGTGCTTTCTCTGGATGGGTTAAAATAGTATGTTTGTGTAGGGTTGCTTTAAAGTACGTGTTCAGGTTTTAGCTGTGCAAAAAGTGAACTCTTCTTTGGGGATTCTTTAAAATTTTCCACAGGCCCTGTTCAGTCAGAAGGTAAGTGGCTTTTCATGAGCCTGTCTCTACCCTGTGTTGGTAGTAGTAATTTGCTTGCTGAATTTCTATGTCAGGGAGTGGCCAAAGGCAGTTATTTTAGTGTCTCTGAGTTAAAGTTAGGAGTGTAAGGGAAAAACATGTTCTATAACCAATCCCATTAGTCAATTCTGAAGTAAACAGAATATTGGCTTGGGTATGTAGGTGGCAATTTTGACACCCATACTTCCTAAAGAAACAGGAATGTTGTGTTGGAGTTCCCACGCTAACTTGAAGCTTTTTTTTTAATAAGGTGATTACCATGGATAATAAATTTGCACTGGAGTCTGTAGGAAAATTTAAGACTGACTGCACTTAATATAGATTTAAATGGGTTGCAAACTACATTGTGTAGCAATGTGCTGTGGATACATTTTGACAAGCAGTTAATGTAGAT